CCATTTATTTAGGAAATAAAATGTGAAGTGGCTCATAATGTAATAATGTTGCAACCAATCTTTGAACTAGTGTGTAGCTAGATTAAAGTTGTTTTTGTTTTTTTTTTTTTTGGTACCGGGGATCGAACTCAGGTCCTTGCACTTGCAAAGCAGGCGGTGGAATCACTGAGCTAAATCCCCGGCTTTAGATTAAAGTTTTTAATGTTAAGCGTTTTACAAAACTGTTTTGTTTTCTTTGAGACAGAGTCGCCCTACATAGCCCAGGTGAGCCTCAAACTTGCTATCTCTTGCCTATGTTTGGCTTTTTTTTTTTTTTTTTGCCTTGTTTTGGTTTTGGTTTTTAGAGACAACATCTCCCTATACTGCCCAGGCCATCCTCAAACTCATTGTGTGGCCCAAGCTGGCCTCAGATTTGTAATCCTCCTGCCTCAGCCTCCTGAGTGTTGGTATTAATATCTAAGCTTTGACTGAGGGTGATTTTTATTCCTGTTATATTTTTCTGTTTCTTCACAAGTTTTTATGGTTACAATGTATCGCTTTTTTAGCAACAATAACAATCATCAAAAAGATTAGGACCAGGGATTTAACTCAGTGGTTTCGCCGCCTGCTGCGCAAGCACATTACCAAAAAAAAAAAGATTGTGCTTTGACTGATACCAAGTAAAATACCTTTGTAGACTTTGGTGAATATTGAAAAAAAAAAAAAAAGATTGGGGTATTTGGCCTTAAAAGGAAGAAAATTTGTCAGGGTGTGGCGGCACACACCAATAATTGCATCGTGTTGGGAGGCAGAGGCAGGACCACTGGGTCAAGTTCAAGGCCAGCCTGAACTACATAGCAAGACCCTTTTCCAAATAAATAAATAAATAAATGGAAGGAAATTCTGTCATATGCTGCAACATAGATGAACCTTGAAGATATGTGTAAATGAAATGTCACAAGAAAATACTGTATGATTTCACTTCCATGAGGTACTTAAAAATGCTCAAAATTATAGAGATGGAAAATAGAATGGCGGTTACAAGATGCTTGGAGCAGGAAATAGGAAATTACTATTTAATTGGTATAGAGTTTCAGTTTTACAAATGATCTATGGAAATACATGGTAGTGATGATTGAACAACATTATGAATATATTTAGTGCCACTAAACTGTACTTTTTTGTGTGTGTTACTGGGTACTGAATCCAGGGCCTTCACACTGAGCTATGTCCTCAGCCCTTTTTAGTATTTTTTATTTTGAGACGGGGTCTTGCTAAGTCACTAAATTGGCCAGGCTGGGCTCACCCTTGAGATCCCCCTGCCTCAGCCTCCTGGAGTGCCTGGATTACATGTCTGTACCATCACACCCAGTGGGAACTGTGCTTTTAAAATAAGGCCCACCATGGTGGCACAAGTGATCCTCAGCTACTCAGGAGGATCACAAGTTTGAGGCCAGCCTGGGTAACTTATTGGGAGCCTGTTCAAAAATCAGAAATGGAAAGGGCTGAGAATGTCCCTAGGTTTGATCCCCAGTTCTGGAAAGACTGAAGGGAAGAAAAGGGAGAGGAAAGAGAAGGGGAAAGTACATCGGTTTCAAGGAGCTCAATACATTGCTTCAGGTCACCTAAAAGTATTCATCAACCCAAACTGGATTGAAGACTAGGTGTGAGGGGCACAGGAGAGAGAGAAGGGACAGCCTCGTGGGCCCTAGGCTTTTTTTGGTACCGAGGATCGAACTCAGGTCCTTGCGCTTTCACAGCAGGCAGCGAAACCACTGAGCTAAATCCTCGGCCCGAGGCCATTTTTTTTAAACCAAGAAATGGCTATGCATGTGCTGCAGGTTCCTTGGCACAGGCTTTTTCCTGTTCTGTTTCAAACAGCTTTATAATCTATTGTTCAGAGAAGATATTGCGTATATTTACTTCAGATAAAGGAAAATAAGTTTACTTTGTATCTGAACTCAAAGCACAATGGTTGTCTATTTTCATATTCAAAATTGGGATTTCCCCTGCAGGGCATGGTGACCTCAGGCCTGTAATCCTAGCATTCTGGAGGCTGAGGCAAGAGGATCGCCATGAACTCGAGGCCATCTTGGGCTACATAGTGAGTGTGAGGGCAGCCTAAACTACACAGCAAGACCCTGTCTCAAAAAAGAAGAAAAAAAGAAAGAAAGAAAAAGAAAAGAATTTGGGATTTCCAAGTGTGACACATCACTAACCCTTCCAGCCCATCAGCCACCAGGTTCCTGTCAGGTCACCCGTGTGTAGGATATAAATACCTAAAAACAGTTGTATTTTACTCTATGTATGATGAAATCAACGAAAACTTTATTTTACAAGGAAGATTTCTCTGTGAACTTTATTATACATGCTTTTTTTTTTAATAAGAAAAGTGGTTTAAGTGCTATGCAGTCATTAGTAGAGACTTTTGTAGGACTCTGCCTGCTCTGTAACTATCTGAATAGGACCCAGCAGGAAATACAGACTCTCGCCCCAATCTGAGAAGTTTAGCTTAAAAGGGGGAGAGGGGTCTCCACTGTTCTCTATTTATAACCGTGACTGTGGTTTAAGAATGTAACTGGTCTTCTCGGCCTTTTGGGTAAGATCAAGTGTAGAATGTAACTGGTTTTTACACTATGCGCACTCACATTTGTGACTTTAGCACCAAGCCCAGAGACATTAGAGACTCGGGTTCCCTAAGCTGTTCTGCAGCAGGATCCACTGTCAGGGTCCATTGCTCTCCCACCAAGGCTTCTCCTCGCCATCTTTTTCAGTGAAGAGAAGTGCATGGAAGTAAGGTCACCCCTGTCTACTCGCCTGCAGGATTTTATGTTGGTTTGTGTGGGGGGGGGGGTTGTTTGTTTGTTTGTAGACAGGGTCTTGCTATGCAGTTCAGGCTAGTCTTGATTCACTATGTAGCACAGGCTGCCCTTGAACTCCTGGAGATCCTCCTGCCTCAGCCTCCTGGGTGCTAGGATTACAGGTGTGCACCACCATATCTGGCTATGTTTCTATACACAATTGTTTCAGAATAAAAACTTTTATTAGGGCCAGAGATGTAGCTGAGTGGAGCTGTGCCTGGCACGTGCAAGATCCTGAGTTCAATCCAGTATCAAAAAAAAAAACTGGTTTATTGCCAGGTTCCTTTCTTATTTGTTTTTGTTTGTTGTGGGTTTTTTGTTTGTTTGTTTGAGACAGGGTCTCACTATATGGTTCAGGCTGGCCTTGAACTCACTATGTAGCCCAGGCTGGCCCTGAATTCACAGTGATCCTCCTGTCTCAGCCTCCTGAGCTCTGGTAGGTTCTTTTTTTAAAACATGTTTTAACTCATATGAATAAACACTCCAATTTAAGTTTTTCATAAAGCTAAATTTTTCTTCAGGTCAAATTTGTCTCTTGCTATGATGTAACAAGTTGCCAAATAACTGAAATTATTTTAAAATGTTTTGTTCCTATTGTTTTATAATTGGGGGAGGAAAAAAAGACTAGGTGAGCGGAGAAGGAGAAGAAAACCCAGACTGGAACAGCCAGCTTCCCCAACTCAGGCCCATGGACCCAGAGGAAACCCTTCAACGCCCCGAGGATAAAATACATCTGAGTCCTTATGTTACAAACGAATTCTTGTTCATATTTATTAAGCACTTACTATGTGCCAAACACTGCAAATGGGTTCAGTGGCCTAAAGGGTACCTTATAGCTCATAACTTCAGGAAGTGTAGGGAATGCTCTCTGAGGGGACTTTAAAAAAATAATCACACATATGTAAGGGTAAAATCATAAGCAAGACAAGCTCAGAGATAAGGGAAATGGTTTAGATGCTGGGGAAACCAGCCTCAGAGAGCTTACCCCGTCCAGGAGGAGAGCGTTGTGACAGAGCGCTGCCTGAGCCGAGCCCTCACACGTGCGCAGAAGTTGGCTAGGGGAGCGTGAAGGGCTTGAGGAGAGACCCCACAAAGGAAGAGCGCAGGGACACTGGCTGAGTCCGGGAGCAGGAAGAGGAGATCCTGGCTGGGGACGCACTGAACAACGTGCGCTTCAGTCTCCAAACACCTCGCCCTCTGGCCCTGTCGAGTAGAATCCTACCTGAGAGCAGCCTTGGGAGCTCCGCCCACACTTCCATTCAAGGCACCCAAGTGTGCACAGGCAAGAAACACCAGAGTCAGGGCAGTCTTGTTTAAACCCGGCACAGTGACTCATACCTGTAACCCCAGCAGTCTGGGAGGCTGAGGCAGGAGGATCCCACTACGAGCCCAGCAAGATAGTGACTCAGCGACATCTTGTCTCAAAAATTAAAAATTAGGCCAGGGATTTAGCTCAGTGGTTCTGCCGCCTGCTTTGCAAGCGCAAGGTCCTGAGTTCGATCCCTAGTACCCCCCCAAAAAAATTAGTCACCGGGACTTGATGGTGCACGTCTCTAATCTCACCACCCGGGATGCTGAGGTGGGGCTACGTGGTGAGTTCGAGGTCAACCTGAACTGTATAGAGAGACCCAGTCTCAAAACCCCCAAGACAAAAAAATAACTTTTTTTGGTACTGGGGATTGAACTCAGGACCTCGTGCTTGCGAGGCAGGCAGCGGCACTGCTAGGCTAAATCCCGACGCGGCGCCTAGCCCTTGTCTTTCTGAGACAGGGTTTCACGACATAGTGCAGGCTGGCTCTGGACTCACGTATGCAGCCCAGGCTGGCCTAAGCTGGTGATGCTCCTGCCTCAGCCTCCTGAGGTCTGGGCTTACAGACATGCACCACCACGCTGCCTGTGTAACTCAGTGGTAAAGAGCTTGTGTGGCATGCCAGAAGCCCTAGGTTCGCGCCCCAGCACGGAGGAGAGGCTTGGAGGGGGCATGGAGGGAGGAGGGCAGTTTTAAGAAGCGGTAACAAACCCAACTTCCTCAAGTGGGGGCCGGAGTTCCCTTCTCTTCTAGGCCCGCGAATGCTGCTGGCCGGGCTGCTGCGGGGAGGCGGGGCGGACCGCGGGGAGGCGGAACTGAGCGCGCGCGGCTCTGCGGCCCGCGGACCGTCGCCAGGGAGGCACAGCCGCCCGGAAGGAGCTGGAGGGAGCTGAGGCCGCGGCAGCTATCGCCCTGCGGCTGGATCTCCGAGCGAGCGTGCCGAGCGACGTCAAGCGCGGAATCGCATTCGCTTGCGTCCCGTGCGGGTGAGTGGCGGGCCCTCCTCGGAGGCGCGGCGGGCTGCCCTGGGGCCCTGGGGCCCCGGGGAAGGCTCGTGAGGGCTGGCGCGAGCCCGGGCCCCTCCCGCGGGAGGACGGGTGCTGTCCGCCCCGACGGCCCCGGCGCGGGACGCTGAGCTTCGGGAAGACCGCGGGGGCTGCAGCCGAGCTCTTTCCTTTCCCGGTCCTCGGTTTCCTCACCGGGAACGGGGAGGCAGAGGGACCGCTGACAGCTGGCGGGGCTGTGAGCGACAGGTTATTTTCGGCTCCCAGTTAGCGAGCGCGGAGACAAACTAAGCTTTCTTCCTAGCCGTGCTTAGCGTTTTGCCACAGCCCGAGCCCCAGCTGAGGGGGAGAGAAGAGTTTTGGAGAAACTGTCACAACCTACGAAGTGTTCAAGATTTTCCAACAAGGTAGACATTTGTTTTAAAACAGCGAACACTGACGTCGTTACCGGAAAGAACCAAATTAGTCAGGGATTTACAGTATTTGGTATATTGGACAAAATGGGGTGAAGAAATTCAACCTGCTCTTGCCTGCACGTTCTTACGTCAAGCACAATGTTACCAATGTCTGACTCGGAAGAAATCCGTGTTCAGTGCTAAAGTACTGGGTCGAGAATAAGTTGCACTGAAGTAGATGACAGGGAAAGGGACATTTATTGATTATAAGCTGTGTGAGAGGTATTACCTGTGCACACATCAGTTCACTAAGGAAAGCAGTACTGTACCGTCATATTTACAGTTTCTGATACAGCAGTGTTGTGTATCTACCGTCGTACCTCTCGGAAGATCTGTTTGTCCCCAAAATATTTTGAACTTTAAAAGTTTTAACCCAGTTAGCCAGGCGTGGTGGCACACACCTGTAATCCCAGCACAGGGGAGGCTGAGGCAGGAGGATCACAGTAAGTTCCAGGCCAGCCTGGGCTCCATAGTGAGTTTAAGGCCAGCCTGAACTGCATAGGGAGACCCTGTATCAAAACACCAAAACCAAGCAAGCAAGCAGAGATTTCAGGCAGTGTGCACATGTAGTCCCCACCTACTACAGAGGCTGAGGTGGAGATCACTGGGGTTCAGAAGTTCCGGGCGGCCTGGGCTCATAGCAAGGCCCACCCCTCCCTTGAGAAAATAAATAAATAAAAATTTAACATAGTTCATTGGCACTATCTGAGTCTGTAGAAAAGGACTGTCCACATTTTAGGGATGTTGAAGAAGCGCTGCACAGTACTTCGGAAGACAAGCAGTGGAAGGTTCATTTTAATCTTCCTCTGCCTTGCACTGTTGTGCTGGAGTAGAAATTCAAGCAAGACTTGTCCTAAAAGATCAGTTGGAAAAAAAAAAAAAAGATCAGTCGATCAGAAATGAAAATCACTGCCACATCATTCCAGGCTTACAAACTAGAATCATTCGAACTTAGGACCTTGAGCTTTGGAGGCAGGAGGCGGAACCACTGAGCTAAATCCCCAGCCCACAAACTAGAATTCTTTAGTAATGGTTCATCCTTTCTCCGCACCCTTCTCCACATTTAAATGATGAAACTCATTTAAATGATTTCTCTACAAAATATGACTAAGCAAGTAATGTTTAGATAAGTGTTGAGAAGCTTCTTCTTTTTATAGTTTTTAGAACTTCAGTTAGTGTTATGAGGATTCAATTTGTCATCAAGTGTGTTTAATTTTCCTAGTTCAATATTGGCAAGTTGTACTCAGTCTACAACCAACCTTTTAATATAGTTGTTGTGGTTTTTTTCCTTACCCTCCCCTCACCCTTTACTGGGAACTAAAACTAGGATTTGTGTGTTTCTTTGTTTTTGAGACAGGGTCTAACCAAGTAGTTCAGGGTATTTATATTTGTCATGGTTGTGGGGGCATTGAGACAAGGTCTCACTCCATAATTCAGGCTGGCCTTGAACTCACTATATAGCCCCAACTAGCCTTAAAGTCTCCGCAATCCTGCCTGAGCCTCCTGAGTGCTGGAATTACAGGCCTGCACCACCATGCCTGGTTTATTTTGTCATGGTTTTAACTTTTCACTTGTCACTTTTCTCTAAAGGAAACTTGAGCGTGTATTTTGGTGGACTATGAGAACCAAAAAGTCTAGCTCACAAATTATAATTGGTAGGGCTGGGGATTTAGCTCAGTGGTTCAGCCACCTGCCTCACAAGCACAAGGTCCTGAGTTTGATCCCTGGTACCAAAAAAACAAAAACAAATTATAATTGGTATACACCCAGTCCCAAAATATTTGAGGTGCTTCCACCCACAATAAGATACTTACACCATAGTTTTAAAACTTTAAAGGCTGTTGAAAAAAAATCTAACAATTTCAGGGGAGAAAATTTGTAAAGCAGCACTGTCTTGGAACATTTAACACAAAACATGGTCAAACAGTTTGGCTTTCTGCGTATTTTTAGTACTATTTGAATTTACAAAGGGATTCCTAAATTAGCTTACAGATAGTTTAGTTGCAAGCCAGGCATAGTTGTACACTCCTGTAAACCCAGCACTCAGGAGGCTGAAGCAGGATTGTGCTGAGTTCAAAGCCAGCCTGAGCTACATAGCGAGACCCTGTCTCAAAAAAGATAGTGCTTTTTTTTTTTTTTTTTTTTTGCCATACTAGGAATTGAACCCAGAGCCTCATATAAGCTAGTGAAGTACTCTACCACTGAGCTATATACAGTGCTGCCCCTCACCTAAATGATACCGGGGATTGAACCCAGAGAATCGATCTAAATCCCCAGCCCTTTTTTATTTTGAGACAGGGTCTTACTGAGACACTAAATTGCCCAAGCTGGGTTTAACCTGCAGTCCTCCTACCTCACAGAATGTTAGGATTACAAGCATGTGTCATTGTGCCCAACTACAGACAATATACAGATCTTACAGAATTTTTTTTCTTACAGAATTTTTATGTTTTAATCATAAACCTGACACAATTGGGTAGAAAACTGAAGTTAATTTCTTTTTTTGTTTTGTTTGTTTCTTTGTTTGTTTTGAGATAGAATTTCACCATGTAGTCCAGGCTGTCCTTGAACTTATTATGTAACCCAGGCTCTCCTCAAACTTGAAGCGATCTTTCCTGCCTCAGCCCACTAAGTGCTAGGATTACAGGCATGCGTTACCATGCCTGTCCTGAAGTTAATTTCTTGTAGTAAAATTTCTATTTCATTCTGTAACCAAGGCTGTCCTCAAACTCAAGATTCTCTGGCCTCAGGCTCCTGAGTCCTGAGATTAAAGGCATTCATAACCACACCTGGCCCAAAAGATGCATTTATTTGTTTTGTTGTATTTTTTGTGATGTTTTGGTTTTGTTTGAAACAGGGTCTCCCTATGTAGTCCAGGCTGGCCTTGAAGTCTTGGCGATCCTCCTGCCTCAGCCTTCTGAGTGCTGGGATCATAGGTATGTGCCACCACCCCTGGGTTCCAAAAGGTGCATTTTATTTTTTTATTTTTTATTTTTCAATTTTTTTTGGTACTGGGGTTTGAACTTGGGACCTTGCACTTGCGAGGCAGGCGCTGGAACCACTGAACTAAATCCCCGGCCCTAAAAGATGCATTTAAAATCCAAATATTTTAGCTGGGCACAGTGGCACATGGCTGTAATTCTACCTACTCAGGAGACTGAGGTAGGAAAGGATTACAAGTTAAGGCTAGCCTTGGAAATTTAGGGAGACCTGCCTCAAAATGAAAAATAAAAAGAACTGGGAATACAGCTCCACGGTAGAATCCCCCTCGGTTCCATCACTAGTATTGCACACACCCACAAAAAAAGAAATAGATTTGCTGTGGATTTCACTGTGGCTCTACCATGATTTGCATCCCAAAGTTATTAATGAACTGGTCCTAACATCATACTTTTATGTTATATTTGCCTCTTCAGAATACAATCTTACATCTCTTATTTTGTCCTAGAACTATATTTTGTATATGTGTGGTACTGAAGATTAAACCCAGGACCTTTACACTAAGCTTTTTTCATTTTTTATTTTGAGACAGGTCTTAACTAAGTAAATTGCCCAAGCTGGGCTCAAACAAGATCATCCTGCCTCAGCCTCCCAGAGTGCTGGGATTACAGGCATCCAATACCATGTCAAGCTTCCCAGAACTACTGTTTGGGGTGTTTGTATTTGGTCGTCTTATGTGATTTTTTAATTTAATTTTATTTTGCCATACTGGGGATTGCACCCAGGGCCTCACACATGCTAAGCAAGTGCTATACCACTGAGACGCATCCCCAGCCCTTTATACTTTTTATGCTGAGACAGGGTCTCACTAAGTTGCCCAGGCCAAAACTGGGATCCTGTGCCTAAACTTCCGGACTAGCTGAAACTATAGGCATGGGGCACTGTTCCCAGCTTCTTTTATTTTTTTTATAGTAGCTTTATGAGCTATAGTTGGCATAATACAAACCCCTTTAAAGTGTTCAGTGTTTTTAATATAGTCACAGTGTTGTGCAACCATCACCACTGTCTCATTCCTGAAAGTTTCCACCACCTCAGAAAGGAAGCCAGTGTCCCTTAGCGTTTGCTCCCCACCTTCCCCTCCCCCAGGCTGACAGCCACAGAGCTACTTTAACTGTTTGCCAACATTCGTCCAGAGTTCTGCAGGTGCACGTAAGTTTAATAGGACATGGTTTTCAGAAGTTACTTGTAATCTGAGAAGTTCTATTCCATTACATCCTTTGCACCCGTTTTCATGTTACTTGAGTAGATCACTTTTTAATCTGCCCAGGGCCTTTTCCTGTTTGATGTTCGTGCAATAAATAAATCTGCTGACGTGTATTTATTTCCTTGTTCTTGACCTTTGCTCTTCACATGTCTTAATAATGTGTCCGTGATGTTGTATAACCTGTTCTCGGGGCTCAGGTATCGGCTTCTAGCTAAGTAAGTTTTATACTCCAGTATTTTTTTTCTCTGTTTAAAAAAATAACAGAAATAGTTAATTTTGTTTCTAACAATTCCTAGCTTTTTAAATTTCTTTAAAATAACTTTATAGAATACAAATACCTAAAAAAAAAGAAATACAAATATCTCTCATTTTCTGGAGTAGTTTCTCTCATATTATTTCTCTTACGACATTTTATGAGCGGGAACTAGTACCATTCTCATGCAAAAACACCTTTGTTCCTTAAGGCTTACCCTGTTCTAACCCACGGCATTCCTCGTGGCTCCTATCAGCCGTTATCTCCGGTGAGGACTTTGCCTCTGTACTCAGCCTACTTGCTACAGCAGTGCCCTGTTGTCCTCTTAGTGACTCCAGTGCCTGCCTGTCCCTGTGAACAGCGTACCCGCTAGCCTGCCTCTTCTCATCCTTCACCTCTGCTTCTTTTTATCTGTCCAGGCCAGAGCCAGACCTTGGAGCTTGTCACACCCAGACCTGAACTTCTCTTGAATTCTTGAACTCTGTGTTCTCCATTTTGCTCACACAATTCTGGCGTATCTCACCTCTCTCACCTTTCTCACCTTTTGCCGCATCTACACCTGTGTCTCGGCTTACAGACGTTCCCTGTTTTCCCACGTCTTCTGTCTCACACACACACACACACACACACACACACGCACACCCCCGCTTCATGCACCTACTGCTTGCCTTTATACTCTATCCCCCAGGCCTGGACTTCCAGTTATAGCACTCCTCCCTCTCACTGCTGCCCTCCAGTCACTGTTCCCCATGTCCTCCCATTGCTCTTCTGGAAGTCAAACCTCCAGTCATTCAGGCCTCTCTCAAGCTCAGCATTCCTGATGGTGCTGGGGAATCAAGAGTGTGAAGTCGGTGCTGACTGGCATGACTGTGAAGGTTTGCCTTTTAATCCCAACCGAGATCTCTCTAGCACTTTTGTTTGTTGTTGTTGTTTGCAGTGCTGAATTTTGATTGAAGAGCCTCATTTATGTTGGGCAGCTGCTATGTTGTTTAGTTACACCTCAGCCTGTAGAGCAGTCATTTCACTTGTTCCATTCTCTACCCTAGTTTTGCTTCTTACAATTTCTGTACATGCTTCTGCACTTTTGCAGTCACATTCCTGCTTCTTCCTCAGATTTCCTGGCCCTCTTTTCTTCTACTTTCCCCCTCCCCATTTTGGTACTAGGGATTGAAACCAGGAAGCATTGAGTTTCACCCTCAGACCTTTTTTTTTCTGAGGTAGGTTCTTACTAAGTTGCTGAGGCTGGCCTTGAACTTACTATCCTACCTCAACCTCCTAAATACTGGGATAGAGCCAAAAATCACACGATAACGTTAAGTGTACGATGGGGGGGGCACATTATTAGGTTGAATATACCTGTTCTTGACCATAATGTTCACAGGGGTTCAATAAATGTCTGTGATGTTTTTGTGTTGCTTTGTTATATGAAATTGATTCAGTATATTTATATTGGTACTTATATCTGGGGGTGGGGTCTCCATATGTCTGCCAGGCTGGTCTCAAACTCATGAGCTCAGGTGATCCTCCCACCTCTTCCTCCCCAATAGCTGGGACTAAGGTGTGCACCTCCATGCCAGCCCTGTGTCCATATGCCCACAGTTAAGCTATGTCTTGCCATTCGGGGTCCTGCCTCACTAATTAGCACCCACGGATTTTCAGCTCCCGGTTGTACCCTCCTCACCCCAGTCACTGTTACCCAATACCTAACTGCTGTACCCTTTCAGTTCCACACCTCTCAACACCATGGCCTTCACACCCTTCTTAGCGAACTCCTACTCAGCCTTCAGACTTAGGCTGAGTAAACATCATCCCAGGACCCCTTCCTTAACCATACCTCATTGCCTCCTCCAAAACTGGAAATAGGACTAGGGGGAGCCATACAATGCAGGCCTCGCTTCTGTTTTCTAATACAGACTATAAAAGTTCATCTGTACTTTTTTTGTTGCATTATATACTTTTTGGGGGGTACCAGGGATTGAACTCAGGACCTTGCACTTTCAAGACAGATGTGGCACCACTGAGCTAAATCCCCAGCCCTGAATTATATATTTTAAAAAAATTAATATGGAATTTATGATTTACAATCTGGGCAGTTCTGTGTTTGTATAAATCTTGAAACCCCATAGGGTAAATTGATAAATACCATCCCAGATAGAATACTATTTAGTTTTAATGATTTTCAGTTAAATCACATTATGTTTTGGGGGGGATACCAGGGATCAAACTCGGGTCCTTGTGCTTGCGCAGCAGGGGGCAAAACCGCTGAGCTAAATCCCCGGCCCTAAATCACATTATGGAGCTAACTTATCAGTCTAGAATTATAACCTTTTTGAGGGAAAGAACCATGTTGATCATCATTCTTTGTAGTCTCTATGGATCTAGCTCAGGACCTTGGACATGATATAAATTCATAAAATGTGTTGACTTGAATGAAATAAATCAACATACACTACTGCTTGATTCTCTGCACCAAAGGTTATTATGATTCTCTTTGGAAAACTTACCACATCGTAAAATCTCTAGAAACCTATGCCAGGCATAGTGGCACACGCCTGTGATCCTAGCACTCAGGAGGCTGAGGCAGGAGGATCATAGCAAGTTAGAGGCCAGCCTGGGATGGATACATAGTGAATTCAAGGCTAGCCTTGACCTGTCTCAAAAGCAAGACCCTGTCTCAAAAAACCAAAACAAAAAAAACAAAAAAATCCTCTAGGAAAGCTAAATCACACACAACGCACATATATTTTTCTGACTATGATTGTCAGTTTTTTGTTTTTTGCTTTGCTCTGTTTTGGGGTTTGGTGCTGGGGATTGATCCCAGGGCCATGCATATACTATTAAGCTACAGTCCCAGCCATAGAGGTTTCACTTTCAGGTGACCTAGAATGATAATGGTAGAGGAGGTGTAACTGGCTTGCTTTTTTCTTAGTGTTGGGGGTCCAATCCAGTGCTTGGCAAGCAGTCTACCTCAGAGCATTCCCCAACCCAAAGAGGTGTAACTTTTTTGTTGTTTTTTATTTTGGTTTGTTTTTTGAGACAGGGCCTCACTATGTAGTTCAGGCTGGCCTTGAACTTGCTGTGTAGGCCAGGCTGGTCTCAACTTGCCAGAACTGGCTGAGATCCTCCTGCCTCAGCCTCTCGAGTGCTGGTATTATAGATGTGTGCCACCATGCCCAGTTTAGGAGGTGTAATTTTTAACCTGAGTAAAATAGGAACTCCCATGCTGTTACATTCATGTATGTGTGTGTTTGTTGCTGTTCCTCTTGTCATTCTTGTAATGCTGACATCCAGAACTCTTCATAATTTGCTGATTAATCAATCAGGAATTGACTGCTGTAAGAACAAAATTTTGTTTGTGTGAGTTGAAGCAAGGGGAAAGGAGAGGCAAGAGGCCATTGCCAGGCCCCAGAGGCTCTCACAGGCAGTGCTGTGAGCCCTTGCACAGCTGGAGCTGGGCCTGCCCTTTCTCCCCTGTTCAGGGCGATGTGATTGCTCAGACTCTCACTCTAGATTGAGTTGAGTGAGCTCCAGCTCCGGCCTGCTGACCCACTGGAGTGAGGCGACGAAGGAAAGCAGTGTGTGTGTCAGACTTTGTCCAGAGAATGTCAGATAGCGTGGCCCTGTAAACTGTTTGGACTTGGCCCAAGCTTCAGGCCTGTTCCTGTTTAGAAGATGAACTCTGTTGACCTCAAAGTGTGTGTATTTTTAAAGAGTTCTCGTGCTGGGGATCGAACCCAGAGCTTCACAGGTGGTGGCAAAGTGCTATACCGCTCTGCCATGTCCTGCCCTGAAAGTCCCTTTTGTATGTATGCTCTTTCTTCTCTAAAGAGGTCTTTTCTTTTCTGTCTTACTCCTGCTTATCAACGTATGGATTAAATACAGTTCACGCTGAATTGAATTGTACTGTATTTTCTACTATGATTTATGAGTTTTTAATACTGTATTCAATAATATGATCAAAATGTGAAAAATTTAAAAATATTATCTAAGAAAGCAGAAATGTCCTGTCTGGCACCAGTTGCATCTTTTTTGAGACAAGGTCTTGATGTGTGGTTCAGGCTGACCTTGAACTCACTGTGTAACCCAAACTAGCCTCAGATTCGCCGTGACCTTCTTGCACAGGCTCCTGAGGGCTGGGATCACAGGCGTGTGCCACCAAGCCTGGTACCAACGGCTATTAAAGAAAAGAAAGGGAGGGATTGAGAGAGGGAGGGAGGAAGAAAGGAAAGAGGAAAGAAAGAAGGAAGGATCTTGCTCAGGAAAAAAGAAAGAAAAGAGAAAACAGGCTTAATCAGGCTGCTTCTTTGTTTGCAGTACTGGAGATTGAACCCAAGGCCTTCACACTGTGCTATGTCCCCAGCCCTATTCTTAGTTTATTTTTTTAAGTTGCTAAATTGCCCGGTTTGGGCTCAAACTTGGAATCCTCTTGTCTCAGCCTCTTCGAACACTGAGGTTTTAGGCATGTACCAACTTTTTTGAAAAAATTTTATTTCCATTAATATAATCTTCCTTTTTCTTCCTTTCTCCCTCCACACCCACAGCAAGAATTTGATAAATATCCTATGGGCCATAATACTATAATGTATTTATTGTTGAACATACTAGATTATTTTCAGTAGTTTTCTTAAATAACACTTGTGATGCATATCTTTATCCATAAAGCTGTTCTATATTTAGGGCAATTCATAAAAGTAGAATTGGGCTGGTGATTTAGCTCAGTGGTTCTGCCGCCTGCCTCATAAGTGCAAGATCCCGAGTTCAATGCCCGGTACCAAAAAAAAAAAAGATAACATAAAAGTAGAATTCTCTGGTCAAGTGGTATTAACAGATGTATTATTACCGATTTAGTTTTGAAAAAAGATTGTACCAGCTTATACTGTCCCCAGCACACCTCTTTTTTAAATTTTAGAGCCAGGGTCAGACTCAGTGGCCCAGGGTGTCCTGGAATTTGTGATCCTCCTGCCTTAGCTTCCGGGGTAGCTGGAATTACAGGTGAGGGCCACCACACCAGACTCCCAATTGTGCCCTTTTTAATCACATTTTTTTCTAGTCTTACTGTTGTAATTCTTTTTCATTGTGCCACTTTAATGGACTAAGAATGGTCTCTATTTGATTTTTTCTTTTTTGTAGCATTGGGGTTTGAGTCTGGGACATTATGTCACTACTTCTCAAAACCTTTTTTGTTTTTCTTTTCTTTTTTTTTTTTCGTACCGGGGGTCAAACTCAGGACCTTGTGGTTGTGAGGCAGGCGGCGGAACCACTGAGCTAAATCCCCAGCCCTTTTTGTTTTTCATTTTGAGACAAGGTCTCGCTGAGTTGCCCAGGCTCGCCTCACATTGGAGATCTTCCTGCCTCAGCCTCTTGAGTAGCTGGGATTACAGGCCTGGGCCACAGTGCCCAGCTATACTTGATATATTAATGGAATTTTGTTTTCATCCAGCAGTATAATTTGGTTAGAAGGACTTGGATAACAATGTTTAACTCTGTGTAAAGTTTTTGTAGGATTATTTATTGAGAGTTGATGTTTAACACTGTTGGTATTTAATATCTGTTGGTGCATAATGGTAACTCTACTAAACCCAAAATTGTGTTTTTCAGACCCTGTAAAATTTGAATATGTCCTTCATATTCAGTTGGATCTACAGTGGTTTCAGCAGTGTGCTACAATTTTTAGGTAATGCTGGCCTTGCACTTTCTGTACTCACCCTGCTTTACCCTGTTTATGTACATGCACTCGGTCATGCACTGCCTGTTTACAAAGAAGCCGGCAGTTGAGCATGCAAGTGAGCGGGGTGTGGGGCCACACCTATCCTCTGGGAGGCCGAGGCAGGGTTGGCACATTCAAGCCTAACCTGGGCTAATGAGCCACTTAGTGAGACCCGGTCCCAGAATTACAAAACAAAAAATAAAGTTCAAGCCTGGGCATGTAGCTCCGTAGTACAGGGTGTGTTTAGGGTGTGTGAGGGACTGCATTCAACCCCCACCACCATGGGATTGAACGCAAGCCCTTTGCACCGAGCTACATCCTAGAATTTTTATTTTTTATTTGGAGACAGGGTATCACTAAGCTGCCCAGGCTGGGCTCAAACTTGCGATCCTCCTGCCTTAGTTTCCCAGAGTCCTGGGATCACAGATGTGCACCACTATGTCTGGCTAAAAAAATCCTTTTGTTACTGAAAAAAAAAAATTCAGTGTCAAATGTAGCAGTTAAATGCCAGTCTGTTATTGGTTGGTCAGTGTCGCCCTTTTCTTCCTATTTAACAATTTATCAGTGCTGGGTTGATACTTGTTTATGTATCTGGTGTACCTTGTGAGTATGGTATTGGTGATTGAACCCAGGACCTCTCTGAATTACATCCCCAGTCCTTATTTTATTTGTTATCCTGAGACAGTCTTGCTAAGTCACTAAATTGCTCGGGCTAGGCTAAAATTTGTAATCTTTCTGCCTCAGCCTCCCAGAGTGCTGGGATTGTAAGTGTGCACCACCACACTCATCTGTACTTTTTTTTTTTTTTTTTGGTACTAGGGATCAAACTCAGGACCTTGCACTTGAGAGGCAGGCGCGGTGTCACTGAGCTACATCCCTGGCCCTGTTTTGTTTTGTTTTTGAAACAGGGTCTTGCTGTGTAGTTCATTGTGGCCTTGAATTCACTACGTAGCTCAGGCTGGCCTGTAACTCATGACAATTTTTCTGTCTTAGCCTCCCCAGTGCTGGGATTACAGGCATGTGCCACCCCCCCCCAACTATACTTGTTTTTGTTGTTGTTGTTTAGTTTTATGGAATTCGGTGATCACCAGTTTGACCTTATGTTTAGGGAAATTCAACAATGAACAACTTAACTTTTTGACTATGGCTATGGTTTCTTTTGTTAAAATACTTAATTTCTGACCGGGGATTTAGTTCAGTGGTTTCGCAGCCTGCTGCGGAAACACAAGGACTGAGTTCAATCCCTGGTACCAAAAAAATAAAATACTTAATTTCCACCCATGAAAAAATTATTGTAATTTTTCCTTCAGGTAGCTTCATAAATACATGACATCTAGTATTTTATGAATGTTTTCTTCATAGAGAACATAGATACGTGTATCAGTCAGTACTTACTAGAGTCAGATGTAGAAGAGTACAGAATGTCTGTCTGCACACTGGAGACCTGAAGGGCTCTGTTGAGGGCTCGGAGCCCACAGCAATGTCCCATGCAAATCTGTATCGGGAGGCTGAAGCACAGTTAATTAATCAGCCACACTATTCATCCCTAAATTGTCAAGGAAGCAACCTTTTGGCAATGTAGACATGTTTTGGCAACACAAATACTCCATTGTGGGGGTCAGGTTTAGTTTTATAAGTATTTGAAATCCCAAATCACTAATAGATTTTAAATAGCTCTTTTAAAACTGAAAATAAAGGCAGGCATGGTGGTGCAGGCCTAAACTCCCAGCTTCCTGGGGGTCTGAGGCAGGAGGAGCACAAGTTGGAGCCCAGCCTGGCCAACTCAGTGAGATGCTGTGTGAAAATTGCAACAGGGTTGTACTACAGTTCTGCAAAGGCCCGGGGCTCCATCTCCATACTGGGGAAAGAAAGAAAACTTGAACATAAGTTAGGAATTCAAACTTCTTTGGGCTAAATTTAAAATTATTTGGATAATCTGTGTCAGATATCACTTTGATTAATCATAGCTCTTACTCTGCAGGATTATATAAGAAAACTGGTAAATTGGTATTTCTTGGACTGGATAATGCAGGAAAAACAACATTGCTACACATGCTAAAAGATGACAGACTTGGACAACATGTCCCCACATTGCATCCCAGTAAGTACAGTCTCCCATACAACATAATACCTGGTCCCCATGATGCTGAGTTAGGCACTACAAAGACCCCCCAAATTCACAGGGCTCATGTCCCTAGAGCAGCCACAAATTGTGAAAAATTGCAAATTTCAGATATGGTCAGAAAAATGCCCATAAATGCCTATTTTTCTAGTTTAAACCCTAAATATGCTATGTCTCCCACAGTTACGTAATTTAATAAAATACTGTGTTAATGAAGCCTTAGAAGGTGCAGGGCATTTTGGCAGCATCTTAGGGGTCTTAATGCTTTAGGAAGAACAAAACCAAGAGCCCTGGAGACAGCTACATGGGTACAGCAACTGTTATGATGCAGCAGTGCTGCTGCATCTGCGGGAGATGGGTTACAGGGCAGCAGCCAATCAGCAGCAAGAACTGAATAACACTCTCCGATTGGCTACTTGCAGACCTCCACCAAAAAACAATTTCGGAGGACATTTGCAGTTTCCACGAAATTGTGGGGGTTTATGTGAAAAATTATCAGATAGATTCTAAAGAAAAATCCACGAAGGTACTGAGGCTGCAGACTCTGAGCCAAGACTTCAATGTAGCCCCCCCAAAATTTTTTTTAGATTTTTTTTTTTGATGGATAGTTTATGATGCGGTTATTTGACCTGTTCCTAAAATAGTAAACAATAAAAGACCTGGCTCTCCGGGAGTATATTTATATGTTAAAAATAATGTTCAAACCTTTTTATCAGTTAGTATTCCTTTGTCTAGCTAGAGGAATCAAAAAATTATTATCTTAGAAATTGTGACAGGGTCGGTAGTCATGATTACCTTGTTTGCGTAACCTGAATTTCTTTCAGATTTTTAAAACCATAGTCTTTTAATTATTAATTCAGTAGACAGGTTATGGTTTTATAAATTGCTGCTAACTCTCACTTTATTAACCACTATTTCTGTACTCCTAACTATCTCAACAACATGTAGTGTAAATGTCATGAGGGGCTGGGGATGAAGCTCAGGTACGGTGCTTGCCAGCATGCATAACCCTGGGTCTAGTCCGTAGCACCACAGTATAAATAGGTACAGTGCTGCATGTGGTGGTGCATGCCTGTAATCCCAGCACCCAGGAGGGTCCCTAGAGTTCAAGGCCAACCTGAAATACATAGCAAAGCCTGTCTCAAAAAAGCAAAAGGAAAAAAAAAC